ACCGAAAGGAAAAGCGGTCGACTGACTGATTGACTGCTAGAGTAAACCCGCAGCGAATGAATTTTATAATGTTTCTCTACGAACTCTGTCGAATGCTAAAACTGCTGTCAATTATCAGTTTGAAACCAAGTGCTGCAACTAGTAGAACAATTCGAATACTAAAGAGATAGAATCCAAAACAGCTTTGAAACAGCTGAGAGCTCATAAATTCGACGGTTTCGGCCGCAGTTATATATTACGCTGCGTTACACTTGGAGAAGAGTCCATGCAGTTGATGAGAGGTTGAGAACAGCATGATAATTCGCCTTAAACAACGCTAAAGCACTGCCAAATTAAATAGAATTGAAACCAGGTTCAGTATTCAACAAAATTTTCGGAACAAGTAAATATCCATAAAAAATATTATGCATAATCAGCAATATCTACACGTGCATGAACGAAACTTTCAATATTAAAATCTATCACTCACTTGTTGTTTAAGACTTCCTGCTCTTTTTCGTACTGTTGTCGCAGTTCTTCTTGCTTCTTTCTTTCCAAGGCTAATTTTTGTTCTGCCATAAATACCTGAAATCAATTTATACACTCAAGAACAACTAAAAAGACAGTCGAAGTTACTTTTTTTAAATTCCATATAGCCGAAGGATGGAAATCCTTCTTGGACATATAATTGTTGAATCCCTTCCCCATGGCTGTTTAAAAGTACGAAGATCACCCGCGGAAACAACGAATAAGTTTCTTCTAAGTTCGATGTGACTACAGTAAACATTAAACCTGCAGATCGACAGTTCAGTATTGCATTAAACACTTTAATATACTACCTCGTAAGGAACTGATCGAAGTTAGCATAGACGACAATATCACGACCACTGGGCCATTAAAGAACTAATGAATATTAGAAAATGTGCTCTGAAAAAAATTTTCAACGTATTTTACTGACGATTTCTCTATTAAATAAGTATGAAAGGCATGATGCGCAGGCGTGATGAACAGTTGGAAGCTAATGCTGAAACACACATTCCCTCTTAGAAACTTCAAACTCTTAAGACGGCTTCTGATGAGCATCGCTTACTCTGGTGATTCTCCATAAGTAACGTGACTCCAGAGTACGTCTTCAGAAGCTGCCGTTTAGTCGCGGCGTGTTGACTCCATAAGTTTGAAGCTAAGCAAAAGGAGCATTTGTACCATAAATCCACAATAAATTCCAACATGTCTGCACTACCATCGGTTTTCAAACAGCTTGGCATGTGGTTGATCCGTTAAAGACCTCGACTGAATACGCACCCTCTTTGAATCCCAACCTTCAAAATATATAAGTGTACTCTGTTAATTTCCGAGTAAGCGAGCATGCTAGTGTCTGCGGCATAATGCATTGCCTGTTGTTCATTTTCTGCTTCGGTGTTAAATTGAAGCTGAACGAAAATGTGGAAACCACATTTCTACTTTCATTTGTCATAAATTAAAATAAAAGAATATGGAAACCAGTTCGAAATACGTATATGACAAGTTTTTGGAAACTGCCCTCATCTGTTTACTTCGCTTTTAAAAGTTTCATACAAAGCCAAACACTTTCTGAATAGACATTGACAACTGCAGTGCATTATGCAAAGAAATGAATTGCAATTAAGCATGATAAGGATCAGCTCGGGCTGTTTGTCGCACCTCTATAGCCACAGTGGAAGGAAAGAAAAAATGGTAGTAAATGGGACGCAGAACACGTGACTTGTCCCTTCAAAGCAGATGGAGAGTGGTTCGTTTTATCACAGGAAAAACAGCACCGTAATGACTAATGCGATATTTTCTCTAATCTTTTTTCATCATGGAATCAAAAGACTGATTAGCTTCAAATTAATATTACTGATCTCAAATTTGTTAATAAGAGAAAGAGGATACAGGTGATGGAAATTTGTCGCCAGGACAAAGTGCATCAAATGGCTGAACTCCTGTGATGAATAATAATGCGTGGTAACAAATGAAGGTCAACAGCGACATCTCTTTGTTAGAGAGTGGATAGCCACATCATATAAGAGGAGTTTCCAAGAATTTAAATAACTGCAATTTTAAAACAAGGTGTACCGTGCCATTATTCAGGTCTGAAGATTTACATGAAAGTGTACTAAATACCTCGAACCGCGTCAGATAAAAATGTTCTCTATCCTCTCATGTTTATGTGACTGCTAGTTCCAATTAGAGGGCAAAATACGGTAATAAATTTCTCCAGCTCCGTCTTATAATCAAGAAAATCTCTCTTGCGGTCGAGCGAGTCCACAGCTTATGAATAATGGAGCAATGTCTCAAATACATCAGTTAACACATGTACCATTACAAAATAGAAATTTATCTTCGTGCGGAACCTTACCAGCTTGTATGCTAACACTGATAACGTACATTAAAGGTAACTTTTATAGTAATAAATAACATGGGTTTGGTTTTTTGCATGTAATGCACTCAGCGTAACTATGAATAAGTTGCATGAATAATTTAAGAGTACTGTCAAGGTGAATTATTGAATTCATTATATCAAATGTAGTACAAGTTAGCGAAAAACATTTTTATGACACCTACATTGCATGAAGCCCTTACGTATGCTTAGTACACAAGGGAGACAAAAGAATGAGAAGATTGGAGCATTATAATATAAAAGCATGATACTTGTGCCAAAAAAGACCTGAAAAACTTGCCCATCAAGGCGAGGAAACATTTTTCTGATGAACGTAAAACTCGCTCTGTTAACGTCCTAATGATTTTCCATAAAACTTTTGACTCAAAGGTGTCGTGTCCTGGTTTGGTAAGAGTAGTTCCTACGAAATGTTCAGGTTAAATGATATGCAATTTAGTGGAAGATCATATATCCTAATCCGGCTACAGGCAGGCGCCAGGATCAAGAGCCTAAGGAAGGCAGATTCGCCCTATTACATAAACTTGCTAAACAGAATCGATCAACTCTAGTCCGTTTCGTGTGGAAGCGGAATTATGACGATGTAGGCTGTGAGGGCTGGACGAATAAAGCCCAAGCAAATCCGCTTTCAGAACGGAATCGTTCCTGCTACGATACATGATCGGCGCCTTACAGAAAAAATGTTGCAAAGATAGGAATATAACGGACATTGCAAAACAGACACGTACTGGTTATGCACAAAGAGCATGGTTACCAAACGGCAAACTATCGTGCAATAAATTTTTGATATTCATGTGACACCTTCCTAACAGTATTTTTTGGAATTCTGTGGTGAACACAAGAATGCCAAATTTATCAAATTCGGTAGATCCTTAGCTAAAAACTGCTATGTCGTATACATAGGCATAGCATATCTGCATTTTTTATTATTCATTCACTGCTCCTCGTAGTCTGTCCTGTTTTCATAATTTATTACAATACGGTCTTTATTAGCAGTTATGCCACTCTTTGTTCATTTCGTTACACCATATCAACGCTGAGAGAAGTAAGAAGGCCATTTATTTATATTACAGCTCCATGGTAATTTTAACTTACAATGCATTGATCATATAAAAGTCCAATAAATGCAGCTTTTCAGGTACTTTGTTGGAATTTATTATGCATAGAACAACTTTTCTTCATCTGGTGGCTTATCATGATCTTGGAAACAATCGACTGTGCAGCCTTCAATTTCGCACTGTTCCGACTTTAGCCAAAATGCAGTGACCTTCTTCAGAATAAAACATTAGCGGTAAAACAGATATAACTGCCTTCAGGTAGCCTCGATTAAAGGGTAGGTATTGTAGATCACAAGTATTCGATATGAGACGTGGCAATGTGCCTGTTGTATATCACTTGCTTCTATTAGACGTTGGCAAATTGACTGATAATGAATTGAGGCATACTTTTCGTGATCAGTCATTGTCATAAATCAGTTCTACAGCAAAGATAGCGAAATTTGGTCGTCAGAGGTAATTTGTCTATCAACTAAAATTTTAAAATAAAACGTTTTTTACGCAAAACAAAACTCGTGTATTAAATCACAGCACAGCGCAGATAAGATGACAAGCTGTATGAGAGCACGGTCTCATTTCATACATGGCAATTCTAGAACTTACTGTATTCACTAATGAAGTTACCTGAACGCAGTTGTACTATTTTCTATAGCTGTCCCAAAAAATGCCACTGCAGTTTTAATTAATGCGTCGGCAACAATTTGCTACAGTCTGCCATGTGCTCAAATCAAAACAGTCGTATATTCCAGTAATTGCGGCGCAAAACTGAAATAATTTTGTAAGGTTTGAGGTAAACACACCCTTAAACTACAGATTTTCAGTCTGCCTACTTCAAATGAGTATGACAAAGTGTGGTTCAACCGTTCACAAAGCGGGCAACCAAACATTATACAAAAATTGGATTTTTTAAATCAGAAATAACAGCATCACCAGTGTCAAATTTTATTCCATATTCTGACGAATCTTATCATTCGCCAGTGCCAAAAATATTCGTCGAAAACAATACAAGAAATTGAACTGAAACCGTCAAGCTCGCCTGGAGTTCTTCACAACAGAGAAATACCTCTCACTCGTAGTCGGCCGAAACGAAAGGCCAGCACCACGATAAGTGGCGCAAAATCTCGTAAAAGGTACAAGTAATGCTGAATTCACAGCAATCACAGATGCAAATGCGATCAACATTACACGAATACACGTGACTAAGAAACAAAACTAAGAGACTACAACCATTCTAACAAAAGTATCAATAACCACAGAGGACACTAAACCGTAACGATAACCACGTAATAAAACTGGTTACTGAAAATTTAAAAGGCTACACAAACTGCTACCGTGCAGAGGGTGTGTCTAGAGGTAATAATGACAAATATAAAAATGTCGATCTATTACTTGAACAAATTAACCGAAAGAAAATAAGTAAAATTAATTAATTTTCATTTTTTACACTGCCAAAAATCAACGACTTTTCAGACATGTTGGAAGGGTCTGAACTGTTGGCCACTTTGGCGATTTTCGTTTCGTCATCGGTCGTTAAACTGCACAGCAACGATTCACTGAGGAAACTGTAGTGGTCCGCGGTCAATTCCTTCTTCAGCGTAATCGCTAAAGCACATGATAAGGCAATTCTGGCGGTCTGCACGGTGCACGTAAGCGACTGTAGTGCTGCCGCTAGAACCAGCATATCTAAATGAACATAAATGTATTATTCATTCAGGATCGTGTATAAATAAAAATGAAATAAAGGCAAAAATTATAAACCGAGAACAAAAAATAAATAAAACAAAACGGAAAACAGATGATCGTTTGAACAGCACTACCTTTGTCTTCCTGTAGCCTGTTCGGGT